AATAAAACTAAAGCATTGACAAAGGAGATTGATATCATTCCACAGTGTTATTAACACAAGCAAGAGTATACGAACTATCTAAATTAAAAGAAACATAATTGCCATTCTTTAGAGAAATTGTTCTATGAAACGAATATTTCCCCTTTAAAGAATTTTGTTAAAACATTATCTAGCTTCTAAAAAAAATAACAGTATTTAAAATAATGATTTTCCTACATTAAATCTAGACATTCCTTTGTAGGTACTATTAAGGGTAAATTAAATATATAAATAAAGTGAAGATAATATGAGTCTCGACAACAAGTATATGAAATCATTTTATATTTGAGTTATTTTCTCGTAAATAAATAAGGGGCATTTAACGAGAAGCGGGTTGCGAAAGAAACTTTAGATTCTGTATATTGTTTATAATTGAGCCAATTTGACATAGTACCTATAAAGCACCTGAAATATTATTTGTTTATATATAAATACCTTGTATTTATTAAAGTATATTAGTTGTTTTTTTAGCAACGATAAATTCTATTTTATATACCCATATAAAGAAAGTAAACAGAAAGTTTAAATAACTTTAAATCTTATAGTAAGATTGTTGAATCCATTGTGATGCTGAAAGAAAATCAAGAATAACGGCATTTATTTAAGTTCCACATGTGGATAAAATCCAGAACCTAATATTTAGTTCGTGTAACGCCCCTAAAACTATTTAATATGCTTTATTGTAAAATACACCATACCGCTAGTAAAAAAAAAAACATACAGTAAATACATCAGTATTTACGTTTAAGAAATAATATATTAATGACTAAATTTACATTTTTACTATTGTGCTAATTCGACCTTCGTTATGTTAAATAGTCATTCTGTGAACATATTATAATTATTCTGCTACAGATAAAACTAAACATGAGATCACGTATCCTTAAAACAATCTAGTTATCGTATACAACGGCCGCCAACGCATATCGAGGAACGGAAACGCGTACACAATGTTACTGGGGCATTTCCAGTCATTCAATGGTCAATGTCACAATGCTGCGTTGTTGATATCGTCGAGTGGGCGACAATGGAAACGTGTCACTCTCACTTACTTCTAAGATAATATTTGGCATATTACCAATATGTCCAGTCATAATATTCTATCATACATAAGTTAACGTTACGTTTTTTAGGGTTCCGTAGCGCAAAAAGCTCTATTAAGATCGCTTTGATATCCGTCAGTCTGTCTAACGGTCAGTTACACAAACGTCAACTCTTAAATTCAGAAACGCGTAAAGATATTGAGTGAAATTAAAAACGTATACTCAGAACTACAGTCCCTTAAAGATGTGACAATTAAAACTACTCAATTAACATGGAAAATGATACCGCGACTTACACCGCAGAAGTGCATATTTCAACACTTTCAAGGGAAACAAAATTGATAGTGTACTTCCCGTCGATCTCATACTATTAGGGAATGCAATCTCGCGTGATTGGGACTCGGGCGAGATCCTGCGAGTCTATGAATATCAATACCGCAAGATCTCGCCAATCACGAGATCTCGCGAGATTTACTGTTTTATTGTAATATTTATTCAAATAACAATATTTGAACAGGTATTCTAAAACAAACATTTATTTTTAGGGGATTTTCAATAAAGTTTTATTAAGTATTTATCATTGTTTGACGCAATTATATATTTTTTTTATCTAAAACCTTCAAAAGAGCAGTTACTGTATTATAATTACGGAAACGGCTCCAATAATTTTCATGAGATTAAGTATGCAGGGGCTTTCAGAGGCGATAAATCGATTTAGTTAGTTTTAATTTTTTTACTTAATAAAAGTGCCGAGTGAAGCTAATAAAACTTTGACGTATCTAATCAAATACGAAATGAAACGAACAACCAGTCTTCTCTGCTGATATCAAACAAAGTTTAATTATAATACACAGTTTTTTTATAACAAAAATACAAAAACTAAAATAAAACTCATTAACTAAGTTGAATTGACTAATAGAGATTATCATCAATGAAAGAAAACTATATGTACTCAGAGATCTATTAGAAATTTGTGAATAAATTAACAAAATATACCAATCAATTTAAAGGCTTATTCAGTGATTATTCAGCCTCACGTCATTATTACGAATTATTATGAAAGTAGCTTCTTAAGAAGCAGAAAATGTCAAAACAATCTTTGCTATTCCTCATCTTATTGTGCTGGCCAGATAACCAGCCACTGAGAAGATCCTTTCGAAAACACAAGTACCGTATAAGTGCAAAACTTCGCCTTTTAATCCCCTGGACTCGCAAAAATTCGCGCTGCCGCACTTAGAATAAATCGTTTTTATGCTCGAGTGCAGTCTCGTTAAACTCGCGAAATCTCGCCAATTTTTCGTCCGAGATCAATCTCGCTAAAAAAGGTCCAGATCTCGCAAGAACGAGATTGCTTTCCCTAAATACTATAAAATTATCTATGAAAAGTAGCATCGTTTTATACTACAAGTTGTTGCGTTGCTGTGTTCTGTTCAATTGACACTGTATTGCATTTTTGTTCTTATGCTGCCAGCATTAATGTGATTATTAATGGATCTCCTTTTAGCGTTTTTTATTTTGAACTAGACTATAATTTTATTCCTTGGTTGGACAAATATGCAAATTAATAATAGCTTATGTAGTCGGAAGTTATTTTGTACGTGCTTATATTTTACATATATATTACAATGTTAATTTGTATCATAACTATCTAGTAACCGCCGAGTTGAAAACCGCCGAGGAGTCTATTCATGAGAACCCTAAGATGTACTGGTCTTATATGAAGAGCAAACGTCAATGTGGTAGTTATTCCACTTTGAATGAAATGAGTCTAGTATTGCTGGCGTTGGTATCAGTAACCTCTTTTCTATTTACTTCCAATCGATTTTTTTAACTACCATCTCACTTAACTGACCATGTTACGTATAGTGGATTCTGTTTATGGTGATCATTTAGGAGGTATCTAAAGCGCTACCGTCACTTGACCACAGTAAATCTGCTGACCCTGACATGCTTCCAGCTATATTTTTAGTAAGATTTGCTAAGCAGTTATGCGTTCCGATATTTATTCTCTTTAAGAGAGCAATGGATGAAAGTGTAATGCCTTGTATATGGAAGAAGGCTTTTATAACACCTATATACAAGAAGAGGTTAAGAATTATAGACTGATCTCTAAATTATGTTTAGTTGCCAAAGTTCTAGAGCGAATCGTTTATAATCAACTGTATTGCTGCATCCAGTCAAGTTGCATGGACCAACAGCATGGGTTTTTAAAGGGTAGGTCTATTGTCAAGTAACAAGTCAAATGCATGATGGCAATCAGGTTGATACCATCTATACGGATTACAGAAAAGCATTTGATACAATTGATCATATCATTTTGCTTTCTAAACTACAATCACTTGGTATCCATGGTGGTCTGTTCAGATGGTTTACTTCTTACGTAAGAATTAGGTCTCAGGTAGTCGTATTAACGGTTACTCTTTGTTGTGGGTAAAATATACCATCTGGTGTACCTCAGGGAACTTTACTGTGTTTACTGTTCTTTATTGATTTTTATCATCTACGATATAAAATCTTGGTTCTTAAACTCAAAAATAGTTTTGTTTGCCAACGATATGAAATTAGAGTAGTTGACAGGGTCTATGACATGCTTCTCTTGCAGGAAGATTTAAATAGATTAGACGATTATTATCACTTGAATAAATCTCAATGTCAATAATGTTTTGCAGTCGAATTTTACGCGTAAACTTAATAAAGATGTTTACTATTAAACTTAAACGTCAAAAATTGAATATTAAATCAGCGTTAAGGATCTTTAGGTTATTCACGACCACAATTTGTTATTTGACAAACATATTGAATACATCGTAGATAAATCTTATAAGGCTCTGGGGTTCTTGATTAGATCATCCAGACTGTTTAAAAAAATTAAAACGCGTACAATACTCTATTGTGTTTGCGTTCGAAGTGATCTTGTGTATGCTTCTCAGGTTTGAAACACAGGGATATATATATGTTTCTAGCTTTGAAAGCATTGAAATAAAATTTGTGCGTTTTATTTGCGCGCGTTTTAAGATTCCCATGTTAATCCACGAACAGCGTAGCTCACGTTTGCATCTCCTTCCCCTGTTATTGCGCAGAAAAATCACTGATGTTTATTTCCTACTTAACATTGCTCACGGAAAGATAGACAATCGGGACTCTTTACAAATCTTCGTCAGAAAATTATTTTGCTTCACACTCCTTTTGCACATACGATATTTAGGAGTAGCAGCATATAAATTAGACTTAGCAATTTGATCAATAAATTAAATACAAAGTTGAATAAATAGTAGATTCGAACTTTTTAGTAGCACGACAAGACATTAAGAATGTATTAAGTTCTACCTTGAAGGTACAGTTCTATGTTGAAATCATCGCTGAACATGTCTTAAGCATATTGTGAAAACGTTAAGAAAGTAATATCTTCATACAGATGTTATCAACTTTTGTTAATTTTACTTATACAATACTAATTTCAACAATAATTAGCTTAAATATTATAGACGTATTAATAAAGATAATAATGCTGTAAGCTCCCTAAAAAAACATCATATGCATACATAAACTGCTGTTTGTTTGTCTCACTAAAACTAGAGAACGGCTGAGTTGATTTAGCTGATTATGGATTTGAAATAGTTGACGTACTCCAAGGAAGGATTAAACGGTAAGAAGTGACACGAAGTACTCCAAGTCATATAGTCTTTAATAAAATTTTGTCTTATAGGAGATCGAAATTTTAAATTGAATAATATTGCTTGCATGCTTGATGTGCATCTTTTTTAGATTATTTCGGGGTTGTTAGATCGTGTATATACAGGAATAAATGAAGCTTTTTCTTTCTTTTAACTATCTATTAGAGAACGCCATATTTAATTAAACTTGAAGGCACTGTAGCATTCAGAATATCCTAATCAACACTTCTTTAGTAGTACTCACCTCGTCTGCAGGTTTGGTAGGTGTGATTGCGACAGTTTCGTTGAAGCAGAGACATGCACAGTAATGCCTGTTTGCGTCGACGTCTGTCAGCACCGATACGTAGAAACGTGGCTCCGAGCGTTCCGTGGACAGCGCCCATCCTTGCGGCTGGCAGAACTACACAATAAAATTTAATTTAATTTGTTTATATTATTAATTTAACTTATTAATGATAAACTTTTTCAAATTCGTTGTTGGTAAGCATAGTATAATATACTAATAGTGGCCTTGAGGATCAGTCGATCTACAGCAGTTGCTGTACCACCTTGAGGCATATTCCTGGCCCATAACATGAACCATGCAACCTGAATATCACATCCAGCCAATTTTTCTGTCTAGCGAGTCGTTAACAGTTATCCAGGTATTTGTCGAATAAATAGTATACGAATTATTGACAGAAAATAAATACGGCATATATAATGATATAAAACACCTCAAAAATGTTTTCAATATTATAGAATATTCTACACCCAAATATTTATTTACACTGAAATTTCTCATTAACAAACTGTGGCAGTGATAATATGTCAAAATAACATTATTAGCACCAGTATGAATAAACGATTGATATTGTAAATATTTATTAATTACGCTAATAGCATCGGTCAAGCTAACATATATCATAACATAGACATTTATTATATCAATTATCACCATCATGAATTCGCTTTTATTATCACCGGACTGACAAATCAAATGCCAAATAGTTCATAATTAATATAAAATTGTTTTACAAACGACCAGTTATTTACCCGCCTCTTCACCAGCTACACCATAATGTAGCTTACCGTAGGTGAAATAATTTTCAAATCGGTTGCGTTTTTGGAGCCTATTCTATGCAAATAAATGAAACTTCAAATGGATTCCTCATAATTATAAGAAACATATTGTGGTCATTCTTCGATAGTGTAATTGACCTTTGATACAATAAAAGTCATCGACATTGCCTGACTGGACTCTTATGTAATAATTCCTTATAAAACACTATATAACCCACTTGTATAATTAACAATATCAATGAATGTCTCGTTAAATAATTCAATGTTAAATACATATAATCGTGTTATAAGCAATATATCTAGCTCTGCATTTTTTTTTATAAAACATTGAAGTATGTAAATTGAAAAACTCTTTGGTAAATAGTATTATTAAGGTTACCCTTTAAAGTTGAAATTATTTCGAAAGCTTGTGCATTTTCAGTATACTGAAGACTTTTATTACTGTTATTTTATGCAGATTTTGAACATACAAATCATGATCTTGGCGTACAAAGACCCCCGATGTAATCCTCCAACATACAACAAATAGTTTTTTCTTTATTTAAAATGTTCTCCTATAAGGAGTTAGTGTATTATAAACAGCGATGATTTACAATCATTAACTTTGACTCGACAACGGTCACACTATTGATAAGACAATCGAAACTATCGGTTTTCTTTTTAATAGTATCTATATTTACCTGTTTCTCACTATTGGAACTTATACCTAGTATACGCATAATTACTAAGACAGGTCAAGAGCTGTTGCAACAACACAACTTGGTGTAAGATTTTTTGACGTTTATGGTTTTGTTTAGATATTGGATAGCGGTAACATATCACGAACTACATTTCTAAATACAAATTCTTCTTGCTCTACAAATGTAAATGAAAATCGTCTCTTCGGTAGATTGTATCATTAAGGGTAAGGTAAGTAGAGGTTTTTCCGAAATAATTATGGGCATATCTCACTCTCGAACCTTTCGGGCGTTTCTAGAGACTATCGAGTTCGGCCATGGTATCGGTCCAGTTGATACAGTAAAAACCAAACTCACCCATTCTATCCCGTCGTGGAAGGGCGTGTCGTCCCAATTCGTCTCCGGGAACCGCTGGAGTATGATACCGTTGCTGAGGCCGCCCCCTGCAAACAAAACACACTCGTTAATTATACAATGCACTTCATACAACGCACTCGGTAATAAAGTAGTTTAAAAGTAGTTTGAAACAATTCAGCGTACGGACTAGTGATGTGTTCATCTGGGAATATTGCCACTGCCGGAAATTCTCCACTCCATTATTGCCCAAAATTCCCAGCAGATTTTTTGACGTATTACGTATTCGCTGACTGCAAAGTAGGAACTTGAAATATTGCTGGAAAATTTACCGGGAACTTTGGCAGCTTTTTGTGAATATCGTTATTTTAATGCCTGATTTCGTTTGGAGTACATAGATAATCATAATTTATATTAACATAAGACATTTCAAAAATATAGAAGATTTACCCAATAGGAAGAAGAGTTCCCAAAGTAGGAATTAACTGGAAGAGTTAATTCCTACTTTAGGAACGCTGCCGGCAATGTTCCCGGCAAAATTTCCAGTCCTTGGCACGGTACATCACTAGTAGAGAAACCAGGAACTTATTTTATTTATACTAAGTTGAGTAATAATGACGTCGCCCGATTAATAAAATCATGCTAACATGTCATGAAACACTAATATCTTCGAACGCTAGAAATCCTTGATTACAGGCAGTGTAAGGATAAAACCATAAAGATAAATTTTCATAAGACGTTATAGCAAGGAGAATTTCAAGTTACTTAATGACTCTCTTGAAAAGTGAAGCAGGGGTAAGAAAAGCAAACTCCTGTAAAATCAGAACCACAACAAAATGCGACGAGTGTTGAGTCGAATCAAATGTTTTTAAATCTAGCGATGATAACCACAATAATGGCCAGTCGGGTCCAAGCTCAGAATACACTTCTTTTCTTTATTATATGGGTCTAAAGTCGGTTAACAGTGTCGCGTGGGATGAGGTCATACTTTTTCAAATATTCCCGGCATTATCAATATTTTCCATTTCAACGTAGAAAACATCGCTTTCAAAACAATTGACGAGTACATAACAAAAATTGTGATAATTTGCTAACCTCATGAAAATTAATTCATGACAAACACCCTTCCTTTTGATATTTGACCAATACATGAAGTGCATCATGCATTTTGATAGTATTAACATTACCGATTCACTAAGGCCAAGGAGTGCCGTTGCTGAGCTTACCCCGGAAATGCAAATGAATGTGTAAAGCACATTGTAAATCATAGAACACTGCTCTGTCCTTTATTTATACTAGTATATCAAGAAAGAACATATGGAGGTTTTATAGTGTTAACTTGTATCATAATTACTGTATGAGTTGAGAACTTATTCAAAGAGAGGTGGCCGGATTCGGAAACTATTGTATTGCAGACACGTATTCGACGCTCAACAATTCTGGCATTCCGGCACCGTTATTCAAATTAAACACCTTATAGGAACTGAATTAAATATCAGTATTGTTCCTTATGTTTATTATATTGGTTTCTCATACCAGATTTCATATATCTATATTGCTTTTTAGCCTGTTATAGTACGTAGCAGGAAAGTAAACCCGGCATAGAAATTAAAAAGAAATTTAAAGTGAAAACTAATTTTAATATTCTTAATGAAAATTCCTTAAAAGATCCACTTAACCTCTGGCACTGCACTAATCGCCCGAATTGCGAACGGTCATGGGTAGTACATATACTCGAAAAAAAATCGGAAAATACAAATCATTCTTATAATTTTATTAAATACATATACGTGAATATTATTTCTGTTTTTCTATTTCAGTGAAATATAATAGGCCTACAGGTCTCATGTTAATTAGAGCGAGGAGAACTGTATCTATTCGATATTATTCGTAAAATCACCTGTCTACTGAAACAGATCGTAGAAAATTTTTATGATTCACAGATCGAATCGTTTCACACGGTTGCGTAAGAGAAGGTTAACCGGTAGTTATTATATTGGAGGACCGGTCTCAGTGCACCTTCTGCGTTTGCGCAGGTAATTGTATGACGACGGAGCCTACTATATGAGTTTCTTTTAAAAAGATTATTCGCATTAGAATGCACAGATTTAGAATTTCGTACATATAGAAATTAAGTATCCAGCCAGACTTCGGATCAAGAGCTTTCCGCGAAAACAAATGCCAAAACCTTTTTGATTTAAAACAAAACGAGTACGGTGCGATTGTACATCTTTGATAGATTAAAAAAAAAATTGATGGTATATGTCTTTCTTCCAAGGATAATCCACAATAACCATTTTTTGCTTTTAAATACCTATTATTAACAACACAGTATTAATCCTATCGGAATTAAATACGTTAGAGTCCAAGGGGTTGTTCAGTCACCTCACAGCCGGCTTGTGTGGTATCCAATGAGGGATTCACCGTCTCTTTCCCCCATTGGGAAGCGGTTCCAAACCCCTAAGTTCCACAAAAAAGCGCGCGATTCTCTATAATAATTCAGACTTGGTGGTTGAAAATAGATGTTTCCAATTGTTAGTTTTTAGAATGTTGGTAATGACTAGCTGGATGCATGCATGCGTTCATGATATCATCGCGCTCTGAATATTAACTTAAATTCCGTAGAACTCTTTTATGTTGTGTTTTATTTTATTATTATTTCTAAATTGATTAATTTAAGGACAAAATTTGAGAGATGCTTCTTTGCATTTTGACATAGTTTCATTTGAATAATTTTTATTATGATTTTGTATACATATTAGTATCAAAATGAATCGCCGAAATATATGTATGCGCATTACTTCCGAAGACTTCATCAAATTAGATGAGTCTTTTTTTATGTGTTCCTTACTCTCTGGTCAGGACAAGGTTTGTATTTAAGAAAATTTATAAAAAAAAATCCTCAGTCGCGACTGGAGACATAAAATACGGCGGTACGGAGTTCACCGGGTCAGCTACTACCGAATAAAAACAATACATCAGATTCAGTAAAATGTACAAAGGTTGCTTATTTTATGACACATCGTTACACATTGTGTTACTCAATAGCTCAAATAAACACAGCATGACGTAACGGTCAGAGCCAAAAGTACGTAATGCCTATCTATAGGTCATTACAATACAACGAAGATATGAGACTACATTGAAATTTAAGTCGTCTCACCATTGACGAGAGTCGAAAATCACCTAACAAATACTGTTTACAAAAAAAGACGTCGTTTTTTTTTTGTTTTCTAGAGCCAGTAGTCAGTATCTCTTTATTTTGATATGAGACCCTTTTGATATGATTTTATTAGTGACATTATGTAATAACTAATTGTAATGTGTAATTTAAAATGCAATGCATTCTGTATTTAATTTATTTTCTATCCCTTAAAAATGTGGTGTATTTTCACAATTTATATAACAGATTATTCCAAATAAGGTGCGCCTTCATAAGTTCGAAATTATCCTTTTTTTATTTTAATAATTATATTAAATAAAATTTAAAACTGCGACCTAGGATATTAAAAAAAATTAAAAGTTTTCAGAAATATTAAACTTTTACTTCCACTTTGTCATTATCAAATAAAGCTTAATCAACCAACCTTTTGAACCTTTTTTTAACGTCGAGGAAATATATTAGGCGCGAACCCTGCTACCTGCAAAGTCAAAGTCAAAATAATCTTTATTCAAATAGATTTCTTAAAGGTACTTTTGAATCGTCCAACATGTTTTCCCTACCGCTCGTTCTTGCAAAGCGACAGGGGGTGTAGGGGACTCTCGTACGTGAACCCGCATTTTCTCGCTTTCCGTGGGTAAAAATCCCCAACGGTGTTCCCTCCCCTAGGGAAAAGACCCGGCAGCCGTGACCAAGTCACCAGAACGCTTACCCCCCAAATCGTTGTAAATCTTTAAACAACGCTTAATTTTCTCATCCACATTTCCCAGTTTCATTATCCGAGCGAAGCGTGCTTGATTTTAGCTAGCAAAAGTAACTATTGTGAACTAAATTGATGAACGTTTTAAAGACCAATGAAAATGTATAATCTGTTTATAGAGAGTTTTAACTACCACTTAAACTTAACTATTATTTTTCCTAATGATATCCGGAATCCATCTTGAGTCAAGTTACCCAAAGATCACCATTATCACCGAATCAAACTATCAGATTCAGTACTGAACATTCAGCGAAGTCCCTGTTTGAACCGAACGCCTCACGCTATACATGGCACTTCAGCATCAGATTGTACAAGGCGGTTAGTCCCTCAGACAGGCCCAGTCTCCTAATGGGGAGACTCGACTTTGCCTCGTTTGTGATTCGAAGAGGGTAATTACACTGTTCGGTTCAAACAGGGACTTTGCTGAATGTTCAGTACTGAGTCTGATAGTTTGATTCGGTGATAATGGTGATCTTTGGGCAACTGTCGATGGTAGTATTGCAGTGAACGACAATGTAATCACCCTCTTCGAATCACAATCAAGGCAAAGTCGAGTTTTCCCATTAGGAACTGAGCCTGTCTGAGGGACTAACTGCCCGTGTAATCGCCTCGTGCTGAAGTGCCATGCGTAGCGTAAGGCACTTCGGTTCCGACAGGGACATACCCCTGATTTCCTCGGCACTGCCCGGCACATCGTGTCCGCCGAGAAAGCTCAGAACCAGCACACACTGCTCGAAGTTGAGAGACCACCCTAAGCGCTGATATTGTGGTAGCGTAATTGTTCTGTTGGTCAAGGTGCAAAGTTTTTGAGTACCGATGGCAGTCCAAAGAGATACGTTAGTTGCATTAGGTAGTTCTTGTATGCCAGTCTCAAGAACCTGTGAACCCAATTTTGTTCGGCGATACTCAAATAATATACTTTTGGCTCGGATATATTTTCGTAAACCATTCGTTTTGTATGAGAATGTTCGGAATACGAAAATTATTGATCAGTCAAAAAGGTTTTATTTTGACAAATCAGTGCCGTTTTAAATGAAATTGTCAAGCTTTAACATGAGAAAAAGAAATTGATACAAAACAGGGTGTTTTTTGTAATCTCTAGTATATTAAATTGAGTATTGTATGACATTTGAAGATGGCTTAAAATCCCACGCATAAAAATATAATAT